TATTTTTTAATTAAGTACCTTTAACACAATATAAGTATATGAAATAATTATATTTTTTTTTTGCAAATAATCCTAACAAAAAGCTTAAAAGCTAGAAAACTAAGTAGGGGTTCCACGATAAAAGTGGACGTCAAAAAGGGTTCYACGGATAAAAAAGTTTAAGAAACGCTGCTTTAAACTAAGAGACAAGCCTACTCTCTGTTGGCTCAAGTGTGAACATCCCCTTGATGTTATAACTTAGCAATAATTATTCAAAAAATAAAAGATGTAACCTATTATAACTATATTTTTATTCATATTGTATTCTATTCAATGTATCATAACAAATCTATGTATACATATATCTATATATATTTTTGCAAATTATTTTATGTTATCAATTGCTAAATTGCTAAGAAAAAAAACCAGTCAATAAAATGATGACTGTTAAAAAAAATTGATAAAAAAAATTTCTACTTTCTTTTTAACGTATGAGGTGTGTTTATATGTACTGAAAATATAAGTGGAACCAGAATTTTTGTGCAGTTTAATTTTTTTGAAATAGAGTAGAAATCACTATAACGAGCATTACTTAGAACGAGATACTGCTTACAACAAGCAAAGCATTAGGTGCCGGCACGAGCCCATATGATTGTATGTTAAAATATACCTATGAGTATTTGTTATTACAAATTATCGRCTATAACAAGTAAAATGAAACGAACTTGACTAACGACCTTCCAGTAACTACAAACCGGTTGCTACTTTAACCGATGGACCACGGGGTTATGAAGAACATTAAAGCTCATTACCGGAATCAGTTGGTACTGAAAATTATTGAGGATATTGAGAATCAAGTAGAATCGAAAACAACTATTTTGGATGTCATAATAATGCTGGATAAAGCTTGACGTAATGTAACATTGACGGGTATGATGAGTTGGATCTGTACCATCTATATTCGAAGCTCATGATGCATTGAGGACACTAGAAATATTCTATTACACAAAATATGAAAGTACAGATGCTGAAAGAAAAACAAATGAATTATGAAATTTAAATGAGTAACTATTAATTATGGTTGTTTCTAAAGTGTTTTTTCAATAATTTGAGTTCAAGCTCACTTATCCAGTCTGAACCTCATATGCATAGAATGAGAGGGAGGCTAAGGGAGTATAGCAACTCCAAAATTTTGTTTAGTCCCCTCCATGAAAGTTTTTAGTTACCATTTTTAGAATATAATATGTTATTTAGATACCAGAAACATTTTAGGTTAAAGCCTCTCCATAAAAATTCATTGCACTATGCCTATGCTGACCCTGACTGCTACATGTTACTAATTATCAATAATTTTAGAAAGAGATGTACTAGTGTATATGAAAATAAAGAACAAGTATATATTTCGAACAATGTTAGGTCTAACTTTGACTTTTACTGATATCAGTTCAATTTTTAAAGGTCGATGGTAAATAATAATTATTAAAAAAAGAAAAGAAATGGGACTAAAAATATTATATAGTTTGCATTTATACATAAAATATAATCATATACCTATTTAAATGCTTAATTTTTGCATTATTATGATTATTTGCTACACTATAAAGATATTCAAGAGTAAATTAATAACATATAGTGATATTAACTATTTTATGCCATTAAAAACATGTTGTTGGCTAAAAAGTGCGTCAGCTATTTACGGTTAATAATATCTTATTAACAAAAACAATAAATATCTTGTTGGTTAATGCTTAGGCCATTTAGAAAATAA